CTCCTATATTAGGAGTTACTTCACATTATATGTAGCTTCCTTCCTTCAATTTGAAGTACCTCGATATGTTGATATGTCTTGTTTTTATTGCTATATTAAGAGTTACTTCACATTTTACGTAGCTTCCTTCCTTCAATTTGAGGATCCTCGATATGTTAGACACGTCTTGTCTTTACTCCTATATTAGGAGTTACTTCACATTTTACGTGTAGCTTCCTTACTTTAGTTTGTGGATCCTCGATATGTTGACACCGTCTTGTCTTTACTCCTATATTAGGAGTTACTTCACAAGTTTGTGGATCTTCGATATGTTGACACCGTCTTGTCTTTACTGTCGTATTAGGAGTAACTTCACATTTTACGTAGCTTCATTCCTTTAGCCCGAAGATTCTTGATATGTTGACACAAAACAAATCGCGAAGTTGATTCTATCTTTGTTGAATCTTTCGTGGATAATTTGATAAGCCAATGTTTGAGAGGTACAACCATTTATATAATTATATAATTATATAATTGTTAAATCATTATATTTTTATACTGAAGTCTTAAAAAAGATCCAAATTTATACAATTTTTAATTTATCAATAAAATACTTTTTTCCCCATATCATTTATTCTTAAGCATATGTTCCAAGCCTTCCTTTGAAATTTTGGTTCCTCTCATCCTCAATATAAAATAAAAATTGATTTTTCCTTTAAATCATCAAGTTTTAATTTAATTAACCATAAAATGTTTGAATTAGGAAAAAATAAAAGAAAAATAAAATACCACAAGGAAGCAACAATCTTAATATTTAGGGTATATATTTCATATTTATGGGGTTTTTTAAGAAAATCCCTATGATTGCAAAGCACAATACAATCGGGATTTAACGCTTCTTATTTCTACTCTTAAAAGGGCTTTCGAGGTACCTAAGCCCAATAACTCTAAAGCCCAATAACTCTAAAGCCCAATAACTCTAAAGCCCACTTACAAGCACTAGCAAGACGGGGCGAAAACTGGGCCTGGCCGCTATAAATTCAGCCCAACATTCCATAAGCCCACGGTCTTATATGGTCCAATCAAAAGAGCCCAAATCCGGCCCACTCAGAATCACTAGTCGGACGGGGTGATGACTGGTACGACGAAAGCGACGACGGCGACGGCGACGACGAAACCGAATTTCTGAACGGCGAAATCGACTTCTTACTGGAAAGAGACCACCGCGGCAAAGTCTCCAATTCAGAGGCACAATCCGGTTCGGGTTTCCTGTTCAAAATCTTGGTCGCTTTCCGGTTCGGCAAAGGCGAGGAGAAGCAACCGACCGAGACCTGCTCGGGTTCGGCAAGTTTGGACTGGGAGGAAGACCATCGGTCGGACCGGGTTCGGAGGGAGTTGGAAGAACGGTGGAATTGGGTTGCAGTTACAGCCGGAGGAGGCTTTAGCTTCTTGTGTTGTTGCGGAGAGTGAGTGGGGAAAGGGTGGAGGCAGTGGTGGTTCCTGGGGACGCCAGGTTTGATCTCCCATTTGAAAGGAACGGCAGCCGGTTGCCGGTAAAATTCATCGACATCCATAGCTAGAAAGGTGTAAAAGGGAAGTGGAAGAGAAGTGGGGGATGGGATTGGTTATGTAAGGGAGGAAGAAGAAGAAGAAGAAGAAGAGCGTCCAAAACTGGAAATCTCAGCGAAATCAGAGGCATTTGAGATGGGATTTTGGTGGGTCCGCTTTGACTTTGAATTTGGAATAATTATATATAAAGACAAAATAAAAGTGCCTAACTTTAAACACACAAATTTATTATTCAAATGTAATGATTTTAATTATGAAGGTTTGTCTCTGCTTTTCCATGTAAATTAATCTTAATTAGCCTATTTAAACTAATTTTGATTCTAAGATAATTCGAAAAAGAAAAGGAATTTAGGTCAACTATAAGTAAGTCAATCCGTCAATCCATAATTTAAGAATTTCTGGTTTTAAGTTACTTCAAAACTTGTGACAGAGGAGTAAAAAGAGACCTATCTAATAACGAACAAGATCTAAATGTGCTAGTGACCGTTTATTTAAAAAAGTGTAAGAAACCATAAAAAAACTTATATTTTATTTGTATGGTAACAAAATTCCATAAAACACATCCTATTAAGATCTTTGGAAACTTGTAGGGATAATTTAGTGCTTCTTATGAGTAGGGCATGGTGAGTCCGACCACTCTCGATTTCTAAAGAGTTTGGCTTCTATTTGTTATCGTTATCATCTACATCATCATCATTGTCCATCTATACAATGAAATGGTGAGAAGAAGATGATGAAGAAGAAGGGGCAAATCGCAAAGAAACCATGGAATGATGAGAAAGAGGCAAAGGGCGATTTGGTAATTGTGGAATTTCAATATCACCTTCCAACATCTTCAAAGCTTCATCAATGGTGGGTCTAAAGGCCACATTCACATGAGCACAAAGCAAACCCACATGAACAAATCTCTCCATTACCCCTTTTGCCCCTTCTCCACGGATCGATTCCTCAAAAATGGCTTCCACATTCCCCACAAGCTTCCAAGCCCAATCCGTAATCAAATCCCAACTCTCCAACACTTTCCTCCCACTCATCATCTCCAAAATCACAATCCCAAAACTGTACACATCGCTCTTCTCAGTCAGCTGCCCGTATAAACCATACTCCGGAGCCAAATACCCACGAGTTCCGGCCACCCTCGTCGTCAAATGCGACTGACCTTCTTTACTCTGCTTTGCCAAGCCGAAATCCGCCAGTCTGGCCCGCCATTCTGAGTCCAGCAGGATGTTCGTGGGTTTGATGTCGCGGTGGTAAATCGCCGGTTTGGTTCCATAATGAAGGTAATTTAGTCCTCTTGCTATATCGAGAATTATGGCTTTTCTCTGCGGCCATGTTAATGGGTTTTTGTTGCTTTTGGTGAAGAGATGATCGCTGAGGTTCCCATTAGGCATGAAATCGTAGACTAAGAATTTTCTCTTTTGGGATTTGAATTTCGAGTCGTTTTCTATGCAACAGCCTCTAAGAGAGAGCAGATTTCTGTGTTTGATTTTGCTGATGATTTCGACTTCGTTCGTGAAATCTTCGTCCCTTTCTGAATCCAAATCAATGATTTGTTTCACTGCCACTGAACTTCCGTCTGAAATCTTGCCTTTGTAAACGAACCCATCGGCGCCTTGGCCGATTAGATTCCTCTGAGAAAACCCATGTGTGGCCTTTTCCAGCTCTGTTATACTGAACCATTTCGCCCCAAAGTGGCGGAGTTTCTGTTCTTGTTCTTGTTCTTTGAACCATTTCTTCTTGGATCTCAAAACCAAAACCGCAATTACAATGAGAAATGTAAACCCAAAACCCACCGCCATTAAAGCGTTTCTGCTTAGAAGGGATGCTCTGTTCATCTTTGAGGGCTTTAATGGCAACCCCATAATACAAGAAGCCACTCTGGTATCTTTAGGACCGAATTCGTTGGCAATTCCAGCAGCATAAAGAACAGTGAAATAAAAGCACTTAGTTCCATTTGGGTCTAGACCCATGAGGCGAGAGGTGAGTTTCATGCCGGCGTCGACACAGGTGCCGCAATGAGTCAGTCCAGTCAAGTCGCCACCGCACGCAGTGTCGACTGGGGTTGTAGAGCCGACTTTAGCAACCCAATCGTGAGTACTTAAAATTCCGGCACAGTTGGAGGAATTGGCAGCGAATTGAGATGGGTTTTGGAAGCAATTGGGGATGAGAGAAGGAGGGAGGGAGAGTGAAGAGAGCTTGGATTGGAAAGAGGTGAGGCATGAAAAAGAGGAATTGGAATTGGGGAGGTGGAAAAGGGAAGTGTCTTTGAGGTGTTGGGCTAGGCCGATGCCGAAGAGGCTGAGAAGGGTTTGACAGCAGGGGGCGGCGGCGGCGTTTTGGCGGTTGCAGCTGGTAGTGTCCCACGGGATGATTTGGACGTAGGTGAAGTCTATGGGGCAGAGAGAAGAAGAAAAAGGGACGATGAAGAGGATTGAGAGGAGGGTGAGACAGAGGTAGTGGGCCGACATGTCGTCGTGTTCGTTGGGAATGAAAATGGGATTGGATAGATTTTTGTAGTGGTGGATTTTGAAAGAGAAATTTCAGAGGGCGGCGAGGGCAGTCAAAATTGCACGTTTTGGTTTTGGATTTTGTTGGGATTTGTTGCTTATCCTACGTTAGGTGGGGCTTTTCAATTGGTATATCTATCAAATTGGTGTGCCTTTGTATAAGGCTGGCACAATTGACTCTAAATAATTATCTATTCTTTACCATTTCTCTCTCCCATTCAACACTACGGTTTTAGTGTCACGATTCTACTTGTTCAAGACGTATTGTTTATGGCCGCATGTTGGATGTCCTGGTCATGTTTGTTCAAGACGTGTTGTCCATAACCGCATGCTCGTTTCAAATCTCTTTTACATGCTTTCATCTTAGATAGCCCTTTATTACTTCATGTTGTGTCAATTCATGAGTGAATGACTTTTCACCAAAATTATGTCTGCACTCGTCAGGACTAAAAAGCCTTAAATGTACTATAAGGGGCTATGACTAATTGTCAATTCTTCCCCCCTAGAGTTATATGTTTATCTAAGCCTTTGTATTGTATTTCTCGCTTAATAGCCTATAACATTGCTCTCAAAACCTTCTTTCAATCTTATTTTCAAACTCTCTTTTGAAAATCTCTCTACCCCCATTTTTTAAGACCTCCTTCTTAAAACGGGGCCAGAAGCTTGAGCATACGTTTCCCGGCTATAGGCAATGCGAATCCGAATAGGCTTGACTCACTCGGTGTTGGGAGTGAGTACCACACAATCGTAAAGTCCGCGACCAAGAAAAGTGTGATTAAGACCATTAGCAACATCAAAGATGCTTCTCCAAGGATTTCTCTTGTCCATAAGGAAATCTAACCGTCACTTTAACCCTTAAACTTAAAAACTAGAAAGACAATTTCACATGCAAGCTGCCCTTACACTCACAGATATCAATCAAAAGAAACGAGAGACAGAAAGACGGGTCTAATTAAAAAAATATGCATAAATGAACTAGCACAGTTGGAAAGCATCCCTAGAGTATCCAATATTTGCACAACGGTATTTCTGTGACAGCTTATGCCTAACAGGTTAATAGAAATGGTCTATCTGTTTGATTTGATGTTATGTTATACACTGTAAACTACACAACTAAAACTACAAACATATCCAACCTGATGCACAATCACAGCAGAATTCAAGTTGAGCAAAAAGGAATAAAACCTGTAAATTAACAGCAGTAACCTTATCAGCTTCGGCCCGAACAAGCTTGTTGCATGATGGGCCTTCCGTTCTATCTGTAGGGAACATCACGGTATTATATGTCGACCATCAATCATGAATATGATAACGCAAAATAGAGATCGAGCAAGAATAAAACCTGTGAAAACGTCTGAACCATTGGATATCCCTATGCAATTACATTGTTGGCTTCCTTATTTGCAAGGTCAAACTCACCACTATTACGGGCAGCAAAAAGAGCGAATAAAACAACTAGAAGGACAACATGACGACGTTCGAGAGTGTCAAACAGTCTATATGCTCTGAGTATTTACCAAGAAAAATTCTGTCCAAATCAAGCAAATTATAAATCAACCTTTAGGGAATCAAACAACTATTGAATTGTCAAAGCCATCAGCAGATGAATCTAGCATATGTTATAGTTGAAGGAAAAACAGAGTAAAATATGAAGTACATCATCTTATTAATAAATCCAACCATCCAAAAGGAAAAATCAGTCACAAATAGCTAGTTCTGGTCATTCTCCAATTCCACAGTTTCAAAAGTACCATTAGCCAACCAAAGAGGTCCATGGTTCTACCTCTAGACATGAAAACGGTGAGACATTCGATATTCAGAACATACAAGTCGAACTGCTACTAACCCAAGGCATCAGACGCAAACCGTAGAAAAAAAGCTTAAGAATCTTCAAGAAACATACAGTTCAGAAGATGAATACGACGCCTAGCCAATGTAACACCCTCACCATAACGAACTACTTCATATTGTTTAGTCATCTCTACTTCTCGAGAATTTGGAGTTACATACGCGTCTCCAAAAACAAAAGTTATCCATCTTCAAAAACCATAAACCTAGGAGTTATGCTTGGAAAAAACTTCAAGATAACATCCATTGTTGTGAAGAAAAAAGTTGATGAAAAACAGAGAAACAGAACAGACATAATAGAACTCAAAAACATAAAGAGCAGACAATTTACAGCCATTCTAGACACCCACCCATGAATGAGCACCTAAATCTATACCAAAATACCAATTCACAAATCACATCTCTTAAATGAAATTTCTGCTTGTTAAGTACCTTGCAAGAAACCCCATGAGGATTCTTTGTAGCCAATGATGCTTTCCTGTGAGCCTACACCACCAAAGCAAAAGAGAAGGGGAAATAAGCCATTAGTAGCACAAGCATAGGCTAAGAGTAAGAATTAGACCATAAATGGAACTAGGTAGAGAGATCCTTACTGTTCATCATGGAAATGTTAGACTAAATAATCCCGTGCAATTATATATTGTCACGATCGGCTACGCAGGTGGATAAGGAGATAGTCGACCGTAAAACCCTGTTTTCATCCACTGTGAAAGGTCCAGCTATTGTCTTTGCTCATTACGGGCATCAGTATCCTTTCCTCGACATAACGAGCTTTACTTTATCTACTTCCCTGTACCTATTTTCTATTCCATGTCTTATTCTTTTATGCACTTCTTCATCTAGTAAACTAGCTTCACCTGCTGAGTTCAGCAGATTACATACCAACTGATACGTATATTCTCTAGGCACAGAGCCTCCCTCGAGCAACTCGAGGAAGATATCACGGGCCTCAATTACCTTTCCTGCTTCACATAGAGCATGAATAATAGGAGTATAAGAACTTGATGTGGCAGTTCCATGGTTCATCTTTTGCATCATCCTCAACATCTTGATTGCTTGATCAATCTCGTTCACAGCACTATAGTATCTGATAAAAGAATTATACGTAACACGATTAGGAATACAACCCCTCTTGTTCATATCCTCAAACAATTCCAATGCCCGCTCGATTCGGTATGTTTTGCAACATCCATCAATCAAACAATTGTAGGTAACAACATCAGGTACAAAGCCCTTAAATAACATGATTCTAAACAAGTGATTAGCTTCCCACAGCCTCCTTCGAATGGCCTTTCTGCAACCAGTTTGCAAGCTGTATTTACAATAAGAACTAATCAGAATTGTATACGTGAAAATGTCTGGTGGGCATCTAAATCCGGGCAACTCCATTTGCTCCAACAAAAACCTAGCCTTCTTGAAATTCCCAATTCTGCACAGAGCATTAATAACAGTATTATAAGCATAAACATCAGGCTTACAGTGAAACTGTTTCATCCTATAGAATGCAGTAAGCGCTTCATTCACTAATCCCTGTTCTCCTAGGACTTTTATCAAACAGGTTATGGTCGCAGTAGTAATAAGCCCACTGCCTCTCCTGGACATTTCCTTAAAAAAATTCCAAAGACGCATCGATCTATTCCCTCGAGCCAAAACGCAAGCCATCTCTCGGCAAGTCATTTCGTCGTGTTGAAATCCAAAATGGGTTTCGACCCAATAGAAAAACTCCAACGCTTTATTCAATCCAAGCTCGACTTTGAGAGGATCCCTGTGAGCAGCCGGGCCAAGAACAAGCACATTGTTCTGAAACTTGTATGCCTCCTCTTTCAATTTCCTTTGCTTGAGAGGAGCGCGATGCCGAAATCCCTTTTGGATACCAATGGATCGAGTTGTTTGAAAAAATAAACGAGGTACTGACCGTAGAACATCGGAAACAGACTCCGAACTCCAAAGCTGGTGGCGGGTGGAGGAAGTAGTGGCTGCACAATGGATGTGGGTGTCGAAAGGGCGGTTTTGAAGCATTGCCGCCAAGATTTGGTCTACGAGACGGTGGTTCCTGAGACGAAGAGGATTTAATTGTGCCATACTTTAGAATGATTGTAGAATGCCAAGGTGAATGGTCTTGGTTAGAACTTCGAACATTCAATATCTGGTTGGAGGGGTTCGAGCTTGTTCGAGCTCATTTTAATAAAAATTACCACTCAAAATTATATTACAAAAATCACTTACAAAATTACCATGCTCGTCTTGAACTTTACATACTGTGTTACCACTTAGCATAGTCAATAGCCCGTGATTAGCTCTAGCACTCGAGCAACAACTGTTTACGGGTGTATAAAGGTTGGGTTGGGGAACTCTTTTCCAACTTAATCAACTTTTTTTTTTTTATTAAATTACTAATAAAAATAAAATTTTAAAATTTTTAAGATAATTTTAAAAGTTTAGGAATATTATTAAAAAAATTTAATTTATTAATCTAGACTAATTTTTATATCTAATTAAAAATCCAATATATAATTGCTTACCGGAGTCGAAACGAAGGCAGCGACCAGTTCTGCATGACGAAGTCAATCGGTAAGCTTCAGTCATTTACTTAGCCTGGTTCTCTCTTCGACGTTTTGCACAATGTATAGATGGATATTAAACTATCTTTTATGCTTCTTCTTCCATTTCTGCTACTTGATTATTGCATTGCATCGCATCCGCCATTTCCATTTCTTCTGCAACTCATTTTCTGTTCGGACTATAATCCGATTCGCACGAAATGGACGAAATTAAGGTTCTGACCGAAAGTTTAGGGTTGAAATCATCGCGGAAAGGACTTCCAATGGCGGCTTCTAGGGCGCGCGATAATGAAAATGCTTCGAAGTTTCAGAATCACAGGTTCAGTTCGGAGTTGGATTTGGATCTTGAATCTTTACATGATCCAACTCGATCTTCGTCTTCATATGGAATTGACGAGGCAGAGCGGTTCTCGAAGGAAATCGACGATTTCTTTCGATCATTCGAGTCTAAATCGGAGCGGGAAGCCACGATCGGGGGATTTTTCGACGATGATTTGGATGGAGCGAAGATGGATTGGGCCTGTTGCGAAGAGTTGATACCGGGCTTTGATGGAAGTTCAAGGCTCAATATCCCGTGAGTTTTCCTTCATCTCTCATTTTAACCTTTTAATTTTGTACTTAACATCCTTAATTAAATTTAATCTCAAGTCTGTTCATGTCTGTTCTTGCAGAATATTAGAAGATTTTAAATCACTTATTTTATTTTATTTTTAAAAAAATTTGAAATATTTTAATTTCTCTTTTTTAGTATTAGTTTCTCATTAATAATAAAATCATGTAATAATGACAATATTGTAAATATACCAGTGTTTTCATGTTTAAAAAATATTTTATAATGCAATTTTTCTTTTTATTATTTTAATATGACGCATTTTATATCATATTTTGTCCCTTAATTTATATATATATATATATATATATATTATTAGATGAACACGACTCTCCATAACAGTTTGATATTGTCCACTTTGGGCATAAGCTCTCATGGCTTAGTTCTGGACTTCCCAAAAGACCTCCCCTCGAACAAATTATGTCTTCCCTTAATCGAGGCTCGTCTCCTTTTTTCTTTTGGAGTCTTCGTCATTTTTTTACTATGCCTTTGAGGAGGCTCGACTCCTTTTTCTTTTGCAGTCCTTTGTTCGATATTTGAGGATTCTATTAGCATGTCTAAGTTTACGACATGGCTCTAATACCATGTTAGATGAAAACGACTCTCGTCAATGGTATGATATTGTCCACTTAGAGCATAAGGTCTCATGGCTTTGCTTTAGGCTTCCCCAAAAGACCTCATTTCAATGGAGATAGTATTTCTTGATTATAAACCCATGATCATTCCCTAAATTAGCTGATGTGAGACTTTCATCCAACACATACTATTGTTGAGATTCGTGATTCCTAATATGGTGTTAGAGTCATGCCTAATATGGTGTTAGAGTCATGCCCTTAACTTAGCTTTGTCAATAAAACCCTGAAGTGTCGAACAAAGAAGTTGTGAGCCTCGGAAGTATAGTCAAAAATTACTCAAGTGTCAAACAAATGGTGTACTTTGTTCAAGGGCTCCAACGACCTTAGGGGAGGATGGTTGGGAGGAGTCTCACATTGGCTAATTAAGAAGAAGATCACAAGGTTATAAGTAATAAATACTATATCCTTATGGGAAAACAAAAAACAAAGTCACGAGAGCTTATGTTCAAAATGAACAATATCATGACATTTTGGAGATTCGTGATTTCTAACGAACGTAAGAATAGAAAGTCAAGTGTTCAAACCCATGTATTGTCGTTTCTTGCTCAATTAATACTAACTTTCACTTATTGGGTCTTCTACAAATTTTGAGAATGCGTGTTTGATATAATTAAATTTATCATAACTCATCCGCTTAAATTTTCGAATCGATCGGTGATTTAATATGTCAATACAAAAGGTCCTCTTGGCTCGAGATCCGCAAGTAAATAGATAAGAAACTCCTTTATCGAAATTCAAACACATAACCTCTCACTAATGTGATGCATTATGATAAATTTCTGGTTCAGAAGGTTTAAATGGCATTTATTCTGACTTTGGCAGTAGAGGAGACGGTGCAGTTTGTAGATGCCGAAATAAATCGTTGGGCCTCGGTGAAACAGAGCAACCTTCGTGCTCCTCCTTGCATCATGTAAGGGCCAGATCCATAGGAGATATTGTCTCTTTAGGTTTTTTCTTTTGGGCTTTAAAAGGTGTCTATTAAGAGAGTTTACACACCCTTATAAATGGTGGTTTGTTCTCCTCTCCGACCTATTGCAATCCATCCCTTTGGGGCCCAGCGTCCTCATTGGCACTCTTTCCTTCCTTCAATCGATGTGGGACCGCCCCCAAATCCACCCTCTTTGGGGTCCGACCAATGTGGGACATCACAATCCACCCCTTTGGGGCCCAGCATCCTCACTGGCACTCTTTCCTTCCTTCAATCGATGTGGGACCGCCCCCAAATCCACCTTCCTTTGGGACCCAGCGTCCTTACTGGCACACCGCCTCGTGTCTATCCCCCTTCGGGGAACAATGAGAAGGCTGGCACATCGTTCAGTGTCAGGCTCTGATACCATTTGTAACGGCCCAGATCCACCGCTAGCAAATATTGTCCTATTTGGACTTTCCTTTTGGGTTTTAAAACCCGTCTGCTAGAGGAAGGTTTCCACACCCTTATAAATAGTGGTTTGTTCTCCACCCCAACCAATGTGGGACATCACAATCCACCCCCCTTCGGGACCAGCATCCTCGCTAGCACTTTTTCCTTCCTTCAATCAATGTGGGACCATCCCCAAATCCACCCCCCTTTGGGTGTCCGATGTCAGGCTCTGATACCATTTGTAACGGCCCATATCCACCGCTAGCAGATATTGTTCTCTTTGGACTTTCCTTTTGGGCTTTAAAACGTGTTTGCTAGGGGAAGGTTTCCACCCAACCAATGTGGGACATCACAATTCACCCCCTTCAAGGCCCAGCGTCCTCGCTGGCACTCTTTGCTTCCTTCAATCAATGTGGGACTGCCCCCAAATCCACCCCCTTTGGCCCAGCGTCCTTACTGGCACACCTCGTGTCTATCCCCCTTCGGAGAACAATGAGAAGGTTGGCACATCGTCCGGTGTCGGGCTCTAATACCATTTGTAACGGCCCAAAACGCATCTGCTAGGGAAAGGTTTCCACACCCTTATAAATGGTGGTTTGTTCTCCTCCCCAACCAATGTGGGACATCACAATCCACCCCCCTTCGGGGCCCAGCGTCCTCACTAGCACTCTTTCCTTCCTTCAATCGATGTGGGACCATCCCCAAATCTACCCCCCTTTGGGCCCAGCATTCTTACTGGTACACCGCCTCATATCTATCCCCCTTCGAGGAACAATGAGAAGGCTGGCACATTGTCCGGTGTCAGGCTCTAATACCATTTGTAACAGCCCATATCCACCGCTAGCAGATATTGTCCTCTTTGGACTTTCCTTTTGGGCTTTAAAATGCGTTTGCTAGGGGAAGGTTTATACACCCTTATAAATGATGGTTTGTTCTCCTACCCAACCAATGTGAGACATCACAATCCACCCCCTTCGGGGCCCAGCGTTCTCGCTGGCACTCTTTCCTTCCTTCAATCGATGTGGGACCGCCCCCAAATCCACCCCCTTTGGGGCTTAGCGTCCTTACTAGCACACCGCTTCGTGTCTACCCCCCTTCGAGAAACAGAGAGAAGGCTGGCACATCGTCGGGTGTCAGGCTCTGACCAGATCCACCGCTAGCAGATATTGTCCTTTTGGGCTTTAAAATGTGTCTACTAGGGAAAGGTTCCATACCCTTATAAATGGTTGTTTGTTCTCCTCTCCAACTAACGTCGGACATCACAATGTAAGTTACTGATTATCTGAGCACATGTTTTTAATTATCTAAAAGTTTAAGAATTGGTTTAACAAAAGTGAATCTCAAAATCACTTTGAAAGCATATACTTGGAGGTGAATATGGTTGGAAGCCAGTTTTAATGGCAGATTTGGTATCATCTTCTTCAGTAAACAAAGGCAATGCTATATGTGTTCATCCTGATAAGGTTCAACAATAAGCTGCCAAATTTCAACACATATACACTGCACAAAAACCTTTTTTCATTCTCAAGGTACCACACTCAACACCTGTTCTTCAACAATGCATACTACTTTTTACACTGAAATCATGCAAAACTTTTAGGGATGCTTAATCCTAAGCCATCTCAATAGCATGGAAGAAAATGAGTAGCAAACTCGAACGAGCTATTAGACATAGAATCGAAAGTTTAAAGTTTCATTAGAAATATTTTTAAAAATTTAAGGACTAATTCAATGAATCGTTTACGTGTTTGAAACAGTAACCTCAGAACAAATTCAGCAGGGAGGAACATGCATAAACAAAACCTCCATTAACAAATGGTAAAAAAAAGTCAACCAGTTTACCTTGTATGGCAAGCACTCTCTAAAATGTAAGTCTTACTTTGTTTCTTTAAAAGCAAATGAACTCATTACCTTTTATTTGGTTGCTTTACTTGCTTGTAAATGTTCTGTTGAGGATAATTTGAAGTATATTTTGAAAAGAAAAAAAAGTGGTTTAAATCAAATTTGTCTTTAATATTTATGAGAGTGAAAACATGTCACAAAAGTTTTTGGTCCAGGAAATGTCGGAAAACGTCAAAGGCAAACAAACAGACGAGTCACAGGAAATGGTAGTTTTTTTTCAAATGTAACGTTCTTTGTTGTTTTTTTTGTCATTTTATATACTTTAGCCGTTCATCTGATTGTCGGAACTAGTTAATGTATGCTTTAACTGTTGATTTGAGTGTTTGAACTAGCTAATACATACTTCAACTGTTCATCTGAGTATCGGAACTAGCTAATGTGTACTTCAGCTATTCATCTGAGTGTCGGAATTAGCTAATGTGTACTTCAACTATTCATCTAAGTGTCGGAACTAGTTAATGCATTCTTCAACTATTTATGTGAGTGTCTGAACTAGCTAATGCGTACTTCAGTTTTTCATGAGTGTCGGAACTAGCTAATGCATACTTCAACTATTCGTCCGAGTGTCTGAACTAGCTAACACATACTTCAGCCGTTTATTTGAGTGTTGGAACTAGCTAATGCATACTTCAACTATTCATCTGAGTGTCTGAATTAGCTACACATACTTCAGGTTCATCTGAGTGTTGAAACTAGCTAATGCATACTTTAATTATTCATTTGAGTGTTTGAACTAGCTAATACATACTTCAGTCGTTCATTTGAGTGTTGGGACTAGCTAACGTGTACTTCAATTATTCATCTAAGTGTCTGAACTAGCTAACACGTACTTTAACCATTCATCCAAGTGTTTGAACCAGCTAATGCATATTTTAACTATTCATTTGAGTGTCTAAACTCATTCCGGCATACTTTAACTATTTTCGTGAGACGTGTGATTTGTTCTACGATCGAGAACAGCGAGGCAAATTGGGGAGACAAAGTAACGATTTCGATTTCCATAGGAATAGTCTAGTTTCCTTTTGATGGATTGATAGTTGTGGATCTCTTAGATTCACCATTTACAGACATTTCAAAACAATACAGAAGTTGCTTTTGTTCTTCTTCAGCAGCAGGTGATCAATGACAGGTGAACAAACTTGTACTGAACTAGTAGCTGGTGTGAAAGGGCTTAACTGACTTAACATCATGAATAATTCCAGCTACTGACCCAGCTGCTGCAGCAATGGAGATCACCACGCAAGTCATACTCAGAATTTGGAGGGCTATCCATCTTGGGCTCCATTTTGGGATCTTGTTTTGAGCAATGTACAATTCAACTGGGAAGTAAACAGTGAGAGGCCAAAACCCTATGGCTCCTAGCAGTCCAGTGACATCGTTGAAGAACGGAACGAGCATCGAGATCAGAGTGGTGACGATCACAAATATCGTCCTCCAAACCATCCTAAAGAGTTTGAGTTTCAAGGAGCGAAAGCCCGGGATTGGGATCTTCATATCTTTATTGATGAATTGACTATCTGGGAATCGGTTCGACACGAATTTCTCAATGAACGAGAATATAGGTTGAGACATAACTTGGTATGCACCAACGAGATGCACTACAATGGCTATGTTCGCTATGTCGATAAGCCAATACGGGTTGTAGAAGCCGAAACCGGTTAGGAGGTTGCTTGGTGCTAAGTCCCCAAAGGCTGCATACCCCATACAACCACAGAGTAAGTAGAAACTTGTTGTCACTGCTATACTCGTACGACTTGCCTTTTTCATTGTCTTGATTTCTGATGGAGGAGCTTTGATAGTATCCTACATAAAAATGCAACACACTCACATAACTCGCCTCGCTTAATTCTCAAAAGTCGAACGGTTATCAGATCAGACAGACACAGTGACACAGAAAAGCAGGAAAAGTTCGTTCTTTTCGCGTCTTTTTTACCTGAATTTCAATGAGAACGTTCGAAAACGAGTAAGCGAAAGCTATGTCTCCAAGGGCTTGGAAGCTATTCCAAACCTTTTCGGTAGTGCCAGGGTCAGCTCCTGTAAGATTGCCCTTAAATTTTCTATTATCTGAAGAACAACAACAAGAAACTCAGGTTATTATGCAATGAATTTGAGGTAAATTAAGATCTTTCAAACGATAATAAGCAACCTGCAACTTGCATGACCCCAAGAACCAGCCCAATAGTGGAGTAAGTAAAAGACATGACAGCAGCAACGGTAGATAACCACCATAACTGATCAAAATCTGGAATTTGAGACAGCAAAATTTCCACTACTCCAAATGAAATCATATAAGAATTGCTGTTCATATGACAAGGATTCTTGCCTCCACTTTTGTGGAAGCAATTGGATCTCTTGATTGCCCTGTTCATACCAAAAAAAAAAAAAAAAAAAAA